AATCATTGGGTTTTATTTCGTTTATTTTCTATAAATTTTTATATTGTAATGACAATTAGTTTAGAGAATCCTTAAAAGTGTCATCTTTAAACATCTGTAAAAATTTTTTTGCAAAATATTTTATAAGCTTTAGAAAAATTTTCGAATCGAATATTCGACGAATCGAAACGAATAATGATTTTATTATTCGTACGAATACGAATAGCGCAATAGCGCAATTATTCGATTCGATTCGTTTTTTTGTAGGCCTAATTCTTGATCAGTTCATTTTTATAATTAAAATGATTCAGCGAGGGGTACCATTAAATGCCTCATTCTCATAATAAAAATGCAATAAAAAAACTTGATATGAGCTAAGGTCATAATAAAAATGCATTAAAAAAACTTGATATGAGCTAAGGTTGACATTGAAACACGAGCCACCATTTTAAAAACGAAATTAATGAAAGCCCTCCTTCTTCATGCTACCCACTGAATTTTATTTTTAACGGATAAATGTTGTTAAATTACTTAACCATGGGAAACAGCAAACCGGCTCAGAGTTATTTATGATTGATGCTTGGCTAGCCGTATTGGAGTAAAGTTGGCCAACAACATAGGCTTTTTCATATTTTATTAACTTGACTTTTTAGCGACAGATAAAATCGCTCAAAATGTACATTATTAAAATCAATGTAACAAATATTATGTTGGTAATTTACAAATTAATTTTCTAAAAATGGTATTAAAAAGCTATCATATTTTAATTACAATTACATTTATGACTCTGGATAATGCCTTTGCTCTCCCTTTTAAGTAGAACTAAGAAAATTTAAAATTTGAAAAAAAAACATTTTAGAAGTGATTAGAATAAGAAATATATATTATAACAAGAAAATAGCTAAATTATATTATAACCTAAATCCAATTCATTTACTCATAGTTATAAACTATGGTTATAAATTACATTTAATTTTAATAATAACGTATAAAAAAGTTTGAATAATTAATTTTACGATATTTTACAGAATCCATTAAGACAAGTGACAATAGATTTAGATTTATATTATAAAATACAGTAAATGTCCAGGTGTGATACTTATTTATATTTTACGAGCGTATTTTCGAGTAATTTTAAGCCCTCAAATAATTTAAAATCAATAAACTGGAGTTCAAATATTAATGCGATTATGCCATATATCCGTTAATGTTGTCATTTTTTTAAATACCTTTTTTTTTATAAATAAAAAACAGTATATATTCATAAATTTATGATTGAATATTAGTATTTTTTTAAAAACAGTTAAAGTTGGAGGATAACCTACATTAATACCATGGGCAACCGCAGCATGGTATAAAAGGGAAAAAAAATTGCAAATAATATATTTTTTAAAAATCCGGATTTTATTAAAAAAAGTTGCTATATTTAAAAATTTATCGAGTTAATAATTAAAATAATTTCAATTATTTAATCAAATTTAACTATGTAAGTATAAAGCTATTTGTTGACCACATAAATTTTCCTTGTTGGAAATTTTCCTTATTTTTCTTATTTCACATCACTCACTTTCATTTTTATTTTATGAATCTGATTGTTTATGAAAAAAATCACCTAAAAATACTCAAAACTGTAAATTAGCAGGGGAGGAATTTTCCACTCCCTTTACCTTCTTCAATGACTAGGGTAGTAATGTATTTGCATATCAATTTTACAATATGAATCAAAGAATATTCTGTATAATATACCCCATGATAAGAGTTTGAACCTAAACTAAAAAAAATCGTTTTTGGTTCTGAATATTTTTTAGAAAAATTGTTTGTTTCAGTTTTTAAAATTGTAAAATAGAGGTTCTGATTTCGGTTTACATACTTCAAGTAATGAAATTATATTAAAATTTAAATATCAATTAAAGGTAATTGATTAATTTATATTTATTGGTAATATTTGAGCATTTTTTTTAAATTAGAGAATAAAGGCTTAGGTAGATCAATATCTCTTATTAATATGTTCATATCTTATATGCATTAAATGTAGTTTATATATTTTTCTCCTTATCCCATTATCTAAATCTTCATTTCTTCTTATATATACTTTTTTATAATTAAAGTTTTTTTAAATATAATTTTCATCGTTTTTATTCTATAATGCATAGGTTAGGAGGTATACTTATTTATTTTTGATAAATTTTATTAAGTAAAAATCGGAAAAGCAAGCGAACATGTTTAAACCAATGGGCAGGCAATATTTTTTTTAAAAACTATGAATGGGAATTTAAAAAATTAAAACAAAGAGATGAGGTGAGTTTGTAGGCCAAACACCAGCATAGCGTTTTTTTTTTGGATCCAATTGGGGGGGGGGGATAAATTGCCATGTCCTATTAAATGAACTTTAACCATTATTACAAAATAAAAGGATATGCATTATATTATATATATAATAAATTAACTTTTGATTTTTGCAAGAGTATTATATTTTTATATATTATATTAACACCATTCTTAAATTTTCAAGTATAATAAATAACACATTTTTTGCTCTTTATATTCATTAATTTGAAGGTGTTAAAAAATCTCACCTGGACTACCTGGTATATGTAATATACTACAAAATGACAAAAACCTAATAATTAAAAATTTATGCTAAATAATCGGATAAATTTTTTTTTACAAATTATAGTAATTTTAATAACAATAGATAGCTTTTTTGTTAACAAAATGATAATTAAATATTTTTATTATCTTTTTTATTTTACCTGTCTAATACAGGCTTAATATGACCAAATGTTGACTTTTTAAAAGTAAGGGGGGGGGGCGAAGTCAAATGATTTACAAATTAGATATTTTATTTTTTTTAATATAATAATACCTAGACTATTTCTTCGCAAAAAATAATGGAAAAAATCGTGTATTGTAAAAATACGAATGGATTTTGTGTTGTATAATATTTAGAAACTGAGAAAAGAACTAGTTTGACAAAATAAATATCAAATTAAATTATTAATGAAAATTTAAAGACTGATGTGTCATAGGATGATGAGTATACTTAAAAAAAATGGACAACGAAAAATAATTGTTTTTTTTTAAATATAATAAGTAAAATTATAATAAATCCAAAAATCAAACTAGAAGATAATCTGTATTTATTTTTTCCCATTTTTAAGCCAGGTCAGGATTTTAAAAAATTAATATTTTTGACCTGCCCGAGCCGGAATTTTACAATTTAGTTATTTTAAATAATTTTTGCTGTATTTTGTAAAATGTTTTAAATGGAAACTGAAAATATGAGTAATGATTGAATCTCGAATGATCCATTCATTATATATGCCAACTGATTAATTGTCATGTAGATAAGCTATATGCCCTAACTTTTTAAAAATAATTTCCTCATTCACGCTTATAAGTTTAAAAAAGGGCACAATGTTTTTTTTAAATTACTATGTAACTAAAAAAAAGCTATAATTTAAATTTTTTCTAATCATCTAGCCCGGGTTTTGTAATAGACCACTCTTTCTTATGTCCTGGCCAAAGCTGACCCAGGTTTTTAATATTAAGCAATGCGCTTCGGTCGATATAAAGACAGGGGCGAAACTACAGATATCTGATTTATATATGTACATTCAATTAATGTTGTTAAACGGTTCGATTTAGCCCTTTAAACACTACCTCCAAGAAGGAAATAAAGGGAGAAAATTAAAATATAATCTTCCAGCCGGTGTGACTAAAAAAAATTGTTGATATAATTATTATATTTTTGTTTGTTCCCTTATATATATATACTATGATAAATATAATCTTATCCCCCTCCCCAAAAAAAAAATGTAAATGAGATATTTGCGTGAAAGTTGTAATTTAATATTTTTAATTACACAGGTATTTAATTTATAGTTTTAGTTATAAACTTTATTTTAATTGTGAAGATGACAATTTATATAAATATACTAATTTTAAATTATCAATAAATATGCTCAGATATTATATTTAAAAAAAATCATTTATACAAAACACAAAAGATTGGTTTTTTTAATAAAATTAAAATATCAAATTACTTTGAGAAAAATATATTTAAATTTATATAAAATAACTTAGATTTTACAACTCCTACTTCATATAAAAAAAAAATTAGACATAGAGGCTATTCTTTCTTTCTTTCTTTCTTTCTTTCTTTCTTTCTTTATTGCTTTTTTTCTCATCATACATAAATGAAAATCTATTAATCAAAGATGGATTAACATAATATCCTCATATTAATGATGACAATGGGACAGAAGCGGTAAAATATGATAAATGTTACAAAGTAAAAATATACAAAAGGTGATAAAAATAAATTCTTAAAAACGGGTTTGTTTTATAAAGGTTTAAAAAAGAAGAATAATTAAAGAGATTATAACTTATTCGTTTAACATAAAGAGTTAAAAGAAAATTTAAAAACTAGATTATAAAGGTAAAATATACAGTGACTTTTTTTTAGCTTAATAAGATTTAAAATATTTGAATCAAAAAGTTAAGTTATTTTATATTATATACTTACTTTGCTTAAGGTTTTTTTAAATATCCATTATATTATTTATATACTGTTATTTTATAGAGTCAATTAGAAATATTGACCAAAAATTTTTCATCCTTTTAAATACTTATCAATTTGAATAAATAAAAAAATTGAGATATAAAATTAAAATACATTATAATTTTGGGAACCTCTATGAAAATAGGTGGGAACAATTTTTTTTAATAAGAATTATAAATATTTATATATATAATTTGCCTAGTGGGCATCGTGAAAAAAATAGATTATGTTATAAAATGAAATATGACTGTTCACTTTTATATAGGAAATAAAAGGTATGCAACTAAATTTTGGAAAGATCTTAATAACAAGGAAATAAGGGAATGAAATTAATGAACAAAAGGATTATTTCCGAAAAGGTAATTATTTACCCTCTCTACAACCAGTTATTTCTTATTTATATTTTTAGAAAGAAAAAAAATGATATGCAAATAATAAAAAAAAAATGATTCCTTACATGGGATTGAATTTTTTCCAATATATAGGTGGTAGAAGGAATTTTATTGAAGCGATCCGCGCACTGCCCATTACACTACAGGTAAGGTCAGAAAAAAAGCAAATAACCAAAATGATAATTAACGAGGTATTATAATATTGAGAATAATTTTTGGGAGGACATTTAAATGTAAATGATTTTGGGATTTTTCTGCTCAAAGTGGAAGATGATGACAAAATCCCTTTATATTTTGAAGAAGAACTTTGGCTAATCAAGTTGTAAATCAAGCAATTTTCCATTATGTTTATTTTAAAAACATTTTATTTTAATTTTTTTTTGCAATTTTCCGAAATTTTAAAATAATTTTTTTTTTGAAATATTAAAAAAGTTCATTAAAAATTAAAAAAATTGTTTTTTCAAAATCAATAAAAAATTTAAAATATAAATTTACAAAGATTTTATTTTATTTTTTGACAAAAAAATATATAAAATAATTGTAATAATATAATTAAAAAATTTTATTATTAAAAAATTTGCTTTTGTTTGTGTTTTGTATATATCTTTTTTATTATATATTTTTTTAAAATTTTTATGACAACTTTTTTTTAAAAAAAATAATAATTATAATTTACCACGCAAAAAATACTTTTGTTTGATTTTGTAAAATTTAAAATGAACAAAGTTTGGGTTAAAAAAAATTTAAATTCAGTAAAATAATTTCATTTATATAAAAGGAAAAAACTATGCATCCTAACCTAAGATAAGAATTGGGTCACCCAAATTTTTTTTTAAAATATATTTTTTGGTTAATTTATCTTTTAAATCTATTTATTTTTGAGCTTTTCTTATTTTATATTCGATTTGTTTAAAACATTGTTTTAATATAATGGTAATTGGACAAAACACGACAAAATAAATGCCCATTAGACAAAATAAATGGTATAAAAAATTTTTTAAAAATTATATAGGGTGAGGGATAATATACTCTCTAATAAATTCGGGTGTTTTTTTTATCGATGATATTGTCCGTGATAATTTTGTCCGACATTTATATGTAATAGTTATAATTTGTTTTTGCTTAAGCTATAATTGATGATTGAGAATTGAAAATAATTAATTTACATTATATTACAAATTTTACAGATTTTTATTTTATGGATATGTATATATTAATTAAGAAGTTGAAAGAAATGAAAGACAAAAAGAGAAACGTCTTATGAATATGAAATTAGGAGTGAAGAAATATCATACATTATATTAATAAAAGACGCAGTCGAAGGCCGTTTGCATTGTAATATTAATATATATATATATATTAAACACTCGTTTCACTGTAAAATATTACATATTATATTTTTTAATTGTCGCCATCACCAAATCAGGGACATAAACACATGAATGAGTCCCCAAAAAGTCTTTATAAATATATTTGTTTAAATTGATTGTCATTGCAAAACATGAAAACAAAACACGTTTATATAATAAAATAAATAAAAAGTTTTAAAATTTTAAATTAGAAAGACCAAAACAATCTTTAAAGCGACAAGAATTTATGGGAAATTAGATTATATCTAGCTATTTAATTTAAGATTATGTACTCTAATCTGATCAGCCTATTCGAAAATGTTATGATAGAAAGTAGATATTTCTAAGGCTCAAATTTGGACACATTGAATACCTCAAAAAAATAATATAATTAATGCTAGGTGCCATCGAGGAGAAAAATATGATGCAAGGTTATTTTTAAGAATATGTTTTTAATTATATTTGTGTCTTTTTTAATTAAATAAAAATTGTTTTGTTTTGTTTTACGCATTGGTAAAACACGTTTTGGCCAGAGCTCAAGATAACTACAGTTATAAATTCTCCATAAGTGAAAAGAAATGGAATAAATAAAAATCATCTTTATTAATTTTACGATTTGAAAAAAATGATAACTCTGTGATAAATGCTAACGATTTAGCGCACTTTTTTCTCAGTTTAAAAATGAAATGAAAATTTTAAACTTAAAACGTCTTTTCTAATATCATCGTCATATACAATATATTTATATTCGGAAAATAATATAAATATCAATATTTCTCGGAAAATAATATAAATATAAATATTTCTTTTAATCGAATATTGAAATATTTGAGGTCTAGATTCTACCAACCCGGAGACCATATCATATGCGATCTCCTCTTTTAGATAATTTTCAAGATATAAAATAAAAAACGCTTACCCTCCTCCCTCTTTTAGTGACATGAATGGCTTCAAACATTCTTTATAAATCATTTTTCGACTTCAATCATTCTCTATATATAGTCCCCCCCTCCACAAGTATCCATCATAGAATTTTTAAGCATAAATTTTGTATTTTTTTTAGGATTTCTATATTTTTTCAAGCGCGTAAAAACTATTTACGAATTAACAACGCATACTTATTTAAAGCAATTATAAAACATTAGGTTATTCGTGGTTTTAGAAGAAAGAAAAAAATAATTCACGTAAATCATAAGCAAATTTACAAGATAGACTTATTTTTTAAATTATGTGTGCTGGATTAATAAAGAATAGTATGTGGGGTTCAGCCGGACCACTCTATATATTTTGCACTATTGAAGTTACAGATCAGAAAGGGGTTTTCATCAGTAAAATAGAATTCGATTATTATATACCTTAATATTTTTGTTGTTAAAAATACATCATAAATAAAACCTGGTTTTAAATAACTCGAAATAATTTGATATATAACCGCATACTATATAAATATTTCTCTCATACTTAAAATTTTGTACTCTCGCTATTTTATACCCTCATATTTTCACAATTACTCTCGAAAATAAAAAGATATATAATTTGATTTTAATAAAAATTTTAAAAAAAATACACCCCCACCCCCCTATACTGCTTTGGGCCATAAAAATAATTTAATCTTTTTATTACATAAGTTATTTTATAGTTGTTTGGAATAAACACATTTATAACGCAGGCTTTTTATTCTCAAATATTAAATCCATAAGGAAAATCAGAAAATTCTGCTCAGATCAAAATATTTGCTAAATGAAATTTTTTAGATATTCTTTACAGATACAAACATTGACTTGAATACTAAAAACTTCCCAAAATTTCGTGCCACCCTAGGGCTATTGAGTATTTTTGAATCTAGTGGAATGAGCAGTTGTTCATATACGAGGGCATTACGCTAATATTTACCCCCTTAATTTAATAAAGGAGAAAATGATTGCCCATACCTCAAATATATTTTTTCCAACCCGTTGCTATAATGTAAGTTTGATATATATATAGACGCCGACTTCATGAGGCCCCATTGAAATATTATATTATACAAAATATATAATATTGACCTATTAATATATTAAGTTTCAAATTTTCTTTAGAAATATACAGCCCCATAAAAAAATTTTTATAAGCCTCTGCATGCTATCCTAGATTGACGTAAGAGAAGGGGGTTTTTTGGCTGATTTTTTCACCATACCTTTTATTGGGTAAGTCCCTTTTTTAAAGGACTTTGACCGGAACATTTAAAAAAAATTTAATTTATGGATTTATACTTCCTTTTTTAAACTTATTTTCTCAAAAATTTCAATTATAGTCAATATTTTAAAAATGATTAAGTTTTATTTATTTTTTTGAAATAGTGTTTATGATGACTTAATGTTAGATTTTTTAAGAAGATGAATAGGGAGGGGGGGGGGGGTTTAGAGAATATTTTTTATTAGCTTATAATGATTTATCACGAAAACAAAAAAATTTTTGATGGGGAAGATTTCCCGATTCCCTCCCCACTTTAGTTACGCCAGTCATATAATTTATAATCAAAAATCTAATATAAATTTACAAACTGGAAAATTAAAAATGTAAAATATTTAAAATGAATGATATTTATATAATTTTGTCTGTAGTATCATTGTTGATGTTGTTAAACGGCTAACCAAATGTTTTAGCCAAAATTATTACGCAAATCTGGAGATTGCTAATAGATGGCAAAATGTTTGGACATATCTATTAACAAAATCTCGAGGCTTGCCGTTCACGTAGACTGGATTTTCCAATTAGGGGTGGGGGTTAAATAATTTTTGAGGTGCTTCGCCCCAACCCTATTTACCCGGCCTTCGGCCGGGACTCACCTCCAAAAAATTCTTATTGATTTTTCGGTGGTCTTTATATAATCTCAGTTAAAGTTCGCTGAAAAAGCCTTCTAAAATATGTCAATGTTTTGTGCTTTATTAGAATCTGACTTTAATCAGCATAACAGTATACAAGAAAAAATTAATGATAACAAGATTTTGGCTAACCTTAAGATTAAAAAATAACTGTACTTGTAAATTTTCAATGTTTATAGCTTAATTGTATATTAATTTAATCCGTTTGGTAGACGGTATATAAAGAAAAGGAAAAATTGGCTAAATTGATATAGTGCTAGAATGGAAAATATAAAAAAAACTATATAGCATGCGCTAATATTTAATACCTGACCAATGCTTTTAATTTTTCACTCAAATATGAAAACCACAAAAAGAAATAGAGTTATAAACAAAATGAAAACTATGACGTCATGTGAACCAAGCTTTTGGAAACACTAATTCTGAAACTTATACAAAACCATTATGTAGAGTTTTATTAGTATATTTTATTGATTTATTCTGTCTGGTAGTTGGTTCAAAGAGGAAAAGAATTATTGATAAAAATTAAAAATTTTCCAAATTAGCATCATGCCAGAACCCAGAAGATGGAAGTTTTAACTATATGATTTGCATTAATATTTAGTGCCTTATTAATTCTTTAATCAATTTTAGCTATTAATAAAGAAACAGATATATGAACCAAAAATTAAGTGTGATATCATGTCTTAAGCAGATAGCCAAACATCTGGAAGCATTATTTAGGAAATTTATGTCAATAATTAGTGAGTATTTCATACTTCCTAAGTGCTTCAACCCGCGTGGTAAATAGTTTATATAAAAAAGTTTTTTGGCAAAATAAAAAAATTGCCAAGATTGGCATCATGCCAGAAGGAAAAATATAGAAGCAATAAACAATATGTAATGCATTATTAGTACTCACTAGTTCAGCGATCAATTTTTTTAACCAATAAATAAAAACTAGTAGGGGAGACCGGGGATAGTGTGTTCCCGGGGTAGGTATTTCCTTCTCGAATAATTTAAAAATTAATAAAGTTTAAGTTTTGAAATTTAAGCCATATGTATTTTAATAAGGTGCTTAGTGGGTCCTAAAATGTTTCGGAAAAATTGCTCATAAAAATTTTTAAATGCAAATTTATTCAACATACC